AAAAGAAATTTGTAAAAAAATGAATCCGCCTCAACAATATAGAACTTATCTTCAGACTTTATAACGAAAATGAAGAGAAAGACAAGTGATTTCCGTTTTAGTATTATCGAGTTTACCATTAATACCGTTTAATTTTAACGTTCACATGTACCGTTTCCTATTTTGATTTTCATTTCTTAGAATGATTTGTGTTCTCTTTAATATTTTTTGAGTGGAAACATAAAGTTTCTTGAAAAAATGAACTTTGATTTAAATCGTGATTTTTTTTCCAAAAAAGTCAGGTGATCTAAATCATGATTGAAATCACTTGAAAAAAATCAAACCAACCCTGATTCCAATCATGTCCTTTTAGGGCGGATTTAATTATCTAATGAAAGAAAAAATGGAGTTTTCTTGTCAAAGTAACTTTTAAAACGCGTTGATTTTTTGGCGCTTTCAAGATTTTCCGAAGACGATTTAGGGACAAAATTGTCTTTAAAATGTATAAAAGAGCACACTCTAACCAAAAAAAAAACTGCTGGAAAAACCCTCGGACAAACGGCAGTAGATTCTGTCCATACAGTTTCTGAAAAATCCATAAACCCTCCTTGATATAGTTCTTCCTTTGTTCAATACGAAAACAAACAAGTTTTGCTTATTTTGCATATACTTATTGCAATATTTATTTTTTATTTACCCCCCAGTAAGCATTCCCTCACTGGAAACACAACTTCAATAATGAAGCGTTTTAGCCAAAAACCACATTGCGGTTTGAACATCATGGGCTATCAATAACTCGGAAAAAACATGGACAGCGATTGGTTGAGCCCACACTAAACCGCATTCCCATATCATATCCACTTTATCTCGTAACCAACATGAATGTGTGCATTTCGTCCGCCCGTTGAGCGCAAAAACCATCCCCTCATTTTTGAAATATTGCGCCCTCACTTAGGTAAACACAAAAATGTGGTTCGGCACCCCTCTGCGCTTTAAAGATAATTCGCAGCTTGGTAAATCACGGAAGCCTGTCTAAATCATAATGCATGTACGTCGACATTTTCCAGGTGTTTTCTCTGGAACGGCCTGGAAATGGATAATGGTTAAAGCGAGTGGAAAGCGGCAGGARAATGGRATTTTTTTTGAGGGATATTAACGACTGTACGCCAACAACAACCAGTCAGGATGCACATCAACTGAGGCAATGTTGTCCTACCGGACGTGTGATTGAAGAAAATTGTCCCCATCTGTTGCAATCCATGCAATAACTACTGTTCAAGTACGGGTTTTTCCGCATAATTGACTAATGATACCCATTGCAGAGATGCCGAAGGATGACGCATTTTTCAGTAGTAAAAGATCTGTCAGGCCGAAGATGAGAATAATGCGAACGGATTGTTATAAGCAGCCTCGACCAGATGAGGAGCAACACTTTGGTGCATTTTTCCGACGTCAGCGGCAATTTGTTACTCTTGGATAAATGACCATTTAATAATCCATTCTAATAGGCGAGCATTATCGTTCCCTGATGCCATCAATATGTGTCAGCCTTGATCTTGGCAATGTTCCGACATTTTAATGGGGAGAATGTTTGCAGACGAAATCCAAACGTAATGGAGGTTGCGCCGCAATTCGATCCAATTAAAAACCAATTCGCCTCAAAAGCCGATTCCTTTCAGCTCGAAACTTTCGATCTGCTGCCCGAATTTAATGCAACTAATCCGGTTAAATTCGCACCACCATTAGCGACTAACCAGGCAGAATATCAAAGAGTCAAACTTGAATCAATGTGAATTGGAATCGGGAATGCTAGAAAACGGCGTCTATCAGTGCATGTAATCCATATGGAAATCCAAAAGGAGATCATTGTTTGCTAATAAAACTTTAGAAGTATTTGAGTTCGAGAAGGAACACACAGGGGCGGATCCAGCTTTAAAGTCAGAGGGGGGTGATGTAGAAAAAATACAGTCTTCTGTTGTTTATGAAATTAGGAAAATGATCGTCGTTTTGTGCAAGGGTTGCGCAAGATTATTGCAAAATTTCATGTTTTCCGTCCGGAAGAAAAATGACCAAGAACGCTCGTTTTGCGACATCATTCCAGAGATAATTAAATGGCCTTTATGCGAAGTTTCTCAAGAACCATTCGAGCTACAGAATTCGTTTTGGCATCGTTGAATAGAGAATTGAAAACTCGATTTAGTCGTAACAACGTGAGTGAAGAAATTCGAGTAGTTTTGGACCAGAAAGCGAAATTTGAATATCAGACACTTAGGTGCAAGATTATGGCAAAATTCCATGTTTTCCGTCCCGTTTTTGCTCATTTCTCGGAGGCAA